TTTAAACTATAAAATAGATCAAATAACAACTGACCGACAATATATCATATTCGGGCTCCATTAGCAACTTAATCAATTATACATATCTATTAAGTCATAAAATATCGTTTTATCATTTATTAGACTTTAATGTCGTGATAGGAAATACGGTGAGAGATCCTTACTTGTTTCAGGGTCTGAAATCGGCTCTACAATGCGCTACGAGCTGTCCTTAAATTTTCTGAATTTTTTTTAGAAAACTGAAACGCACTACCGGTACCTGTACGTGTCCTAAAAAATTCCAAATCAAACTCAGGGCCCCTTTTCGGCCAATATCAAAATTCTGGCACGGCGGCTCCGGCGTCGGCACCGCCGCCCGCGGCAGCGATCCGCCTCGGGTTGGCTATTTTCAGTAGAATTCGGCCAAAATTACATTAGTTCATGCGATAAAACAACCCTAGGGCCCTTGGTGGGCCAAAAAATCATGAAAAATCGAGACTCTCTGGCGACGGAGCTCTCGGGTGCGGCGGCTTCTCCGGCGCGAGTCGCAGTTTGATGTTTTGCTCCGGTCAACCTGTAGAGAAAAAGACGGTGATCACAGTAGTGTAAAAATTGCATCGAACGGAAACCGGAAAGGGCCTCATCGGAGGTAAAAATCGAGAAAAGCCGCCGCGGCGCCGCTGGACTTTGTCGGTGTTTTTCGGTCAATTGGCTGGTTGTTTGGCTCCGATTTGACGATAGGCGAATTCAGCATCGAAAAACGAGCCAATGGGATAAAATTTACCTCGTTTGACAGTCGGAAAACCCTCCGGTGCGGTGGCGGGTGGCGGCGGTCGGCTCCTCTGGCGACTGGTTCTTCTCTGGTGAGGGTACTAGCGGCTAGGGTTTGGGGTCGGGTGTGGGTGAGGTTATTTATAATCTTTCCCTTTTAATCTCAGCCGTCCATCACGATTTAATCTGGGTCGTCCGATCGCGATTAAAATGAGAATAAATATGGATCGTCCATCACGATGCGATTTGGGTCGTCCGTGCGTGATTCAATCTGGGCCATCCGTGCGCGTGAGATCTGGTCCGTCCACACGCATGAGATCTGGACTGTTCGATCGCGTGCACGCGGATCGCTCACGTGGCTCCGTCCCACGTGGTCTCCCACGTCAGCTTCTTTGCCACGCGACGTGTTCTGGTTGGCCGAGGCTGTTGACTGGGATGCTGACGTGGCTGTTGACGTGGCACAACTTTTTAAAATTACGTTTTGACCCCTGGTTTCCGATTTTCCTTTCAAAAACACCCCTATAATCCAAATTTTCACCCTTTTTTTCCAAAATCAATTTCAATTAAATTCCAAAAATAATTTTACCCTATTTTATCATTATTATTATTTTTATTTTTATTAAATTAAATTAAATTAAATTAAAACCTTATAAATTAAATATTGAAAATTTAAACTAAAATTTTATTATAAATTAAAATAAATAAAAAAATAAAAAAAAATAAATTTGGGTGTTACACATATTACACTTTTATATTCAAATCATCATACAATAATTGCCATTTTTTATCAGCCTACTAATATCCATGGGGATCCATAAGGGTGTCCCCGCTACACGTGAACCCTTTCTATTAACAATCTTAATTTCAGAGTCGTCTCCATACCCCATCCGGTATGAGTGCCAAGATATTAAACCTCAATACCTCGTCCAGTATGAGCGTGAAACGGGCCGTCTTCATACCATGTCTGGTATGGGTGCCAAATGACTAAGTCTCCATACCCCGTCCGGTATGAGACAACATTCACGGTAGGGTTCCTTATGAACCCGATCCGGCTACCATCTTCTAGGATATCTAGTGAGGCTGTCATCTTATCCGTTTATTAAATCACATCCCTTTTCTGTTTATCTTTAATCTCCGTTATCAAATTAAATACAATCACATAAATAATAAACGTGTACCCGGTAATACAATCATATCTTACATTCCAAAATCACACAATGTCATGTAAGACAGTAATACATACATTTTAAGACCATAGAATAGATAAACCATATACCATAATGCATTTAAACTGTAATATAAATCCAACAGGAATTGATAAAGAATAATGTCTGCTTCGGACTCTATTAGCAACCTTAATTAATTATGCATATCTATTTAATTTGTACAAAATACAATATTATCATTTATTCAAACTTCAATTCCATGATAGAAAATAGGGTGAATGGTCCTTACTTGATTCGACGCCGAAAACTAAATGATTACTGCACCTACGGGCGGTCCCTAGGTTCCCTAAATTTTTTTTCGGAAACTGAAACGCGTTTACGGTACCTACAAGTGTCCCAAATAAACCCAAAAATCAGACTCAGGGCCTACCCGACCAATTTTAAAATTCTGGCACGGCGACGATCCGCCTCGGTGGACCGAAAAAATATAGAAAACCGAAACTCACTAGCGGTGGGGCTCTCCGGTGCGACGGCTCCTCCGGCTCACGTTGCGGTTGAGTGTTTTGCTCCGGTCAACCTGTAGAGGAGGAAACGGTGATCACAATAGTGAAAAAATCACATCGAACAGGAATCGAAAAGGGTCTCATCGGAGACAAAAATCAAAACACCCCGCGGCGGCACCGCTGAGCTTCGACAATGTTTTTTGGCCAATTGGCCGGTTTTTTACTCCAATTTGGCCATGGGTTGGTTTGAAATCAAATTCTGAGCAAATGATAGAATTTTTACCTTCTTTAGCAGCCATAAATTGCTCTGGTGTGGCAGCGAGTGGTGACGGTCGGCTTCCCGGCGGCTGGGTTGTCTTCTCTGGCGAGGGGCTCTGGCGGTTAGGGTTTGGGTTTGGGTGCGGATGAAGTTATTTATACTCATCCGCATTTAATCTGGACCATCCATCGTATTTAATCTGGACCGTCCGATCGTGATTAAATAGGGAGTGAATATAGGTCGTTCATTGCGATTCAATTTTGGTCGTCCGTGCGCGATTCAATCTGGGACCGTCCGTGCGTGATGCAATCTGGGTCGTCCGTGCGCGTTTTTGATCTGAGTTGTCCGTGTGCGCGGGAACGGATCTCAGTCGTTCGATCGCACGCACGCGGATCGCCCACGTGGCTCCCCCCGCGTCAGCATCTCTGCCACCTAGCGCGTCCTGGTTGGTCGAGGTTGCCTACCAGGCAGCTGACGTGGCGTAACTTTTCTAAATTGCGTTTAAAAATACCCTTAGAACCCAAATTTTCACCCATTTTTTCTAAAATTATTTTCAATTAAATCTTCAATTATTTTTTCACTCTTTTTATTATTATTATTACTATTATTTTTATTTAATCAAATTAAAATAAAATAAATTCAATTCAATTCAATTAATACATATTTATATTTATATAGAAATAATAAAAATAAAATAATAAAAAATAATTGGGTGTTACAAAATAATTTTATATTTTCAATAAAAAAATGTATAGCAAACTTAAACTTATATAGTTTTATTTTATATATATATATATTTATTTGATATATAAACGTTTTAAACAAAAATATTGTTTAAAATTTTTATGATTTCTATAAAATAAAAATTTCAAAAATTTTATTCATAAAACATGTTATTCTATAGAGAAGCTCATAAAACTCAATTAAACCTTTTTGGATCCTCAAGGATATCCACCTTTCAAGAAATGATTAAGAAAGTTTGGAATACTTTAATACAAGTTTAGACAAAGTGTTGGTGCTCAACATAGTTTTTTGGTTAACAATGGTGTATCCAATTTGTTAAGTTCGAAAAATTGATTGAACGACAACTTTTGCTTGTATTCGCTGGTGCTTTGGTGAGATTGTCAGTAAAGAGATTAAATTTATATTTAATCTCACAAATTTGCTATTTGTTATAATCGTTTGATCAAATATAAATTATACATAAGATATATCAGGAGTGAAAGCTAAAAATTTTTAGAAATTTTGATTTTTCGAATGTTGAAGTTTATTTGATTTTTAAGTTATAATTTATGTGTACCATTTGATTAAAAAAGAAGTGATAGTATCTATTTATATCTATTTATTTATATATAAAAGTAAAACTAGAAAAGTGACATGTGTCAATTTTTAATTTTTAAAATGATTTTATATTTAATATTATAATACATGTAATATTGATATGTTTAAAATATAAAAATATAAAAATAAAGATAATAATTATATATTTATCTAATTAAAAATATATAATTACTATATATTTAAATAGAATAAAATTAAGAATTGATACGTGTGATTTTTTATTTTGTCTATTTAATATGATCAACATATATAATATTTACTTATTTATTTAATATAATAATATACGATTATTATTTATTTAAATATTTAAAATATAAAATATAATGAGAAATATAATAATATTATTAAATGGTTAATTTCTAATTAAATTATAAAATTTGATATACAAAATTTTACACTTATTTTCTCCATACTTACTATTTATTTTGCAGATATTTTACTAAAAATTAAAATATAATTATTATTTTTTTGTATTGTTATTAAAAATTTTATACAATTTTATTCATATAAATAGGGTTTATATTTTTATGTAATTACAAAATTAAATTACGAGTACAGTTTTAAATCTAATTTTAAATAATAATAGTGAGAATAGTCTTACATCATTTTGAAGCAACACGGACTGCCTTAATCTCATGTTTATACGGTGCAGAAGACGAAATCTGCCTACAGTTCGGTCATTTCATTTTTCAATTTCCTTCTGCTGCTACCTGCTAGGGTTTAAATCAAATCAAGCGCAGACACAGAGACGAATAGAAAGAAACTGAGGTGTGAGGCAAATCCCCAACAGGTGACTCTTTCTTTTTCTTCCGTAGTTTTCAATGCGTTTGTTAAAACTTTGCTTGGAACTTCCGCAATTCCGGCCTACAGCTTCTGCAATTAGCTATGGCTACCTCTCCACTCACAAATGCCACAAAGAATTCTCAACAGTCACGGATTCACAACCACTCACACTTTCTTACCTGCAAAATTCCTGTGGATTGCCCTTAGAATCGGCCATTTTAGCTTCTAAAAAGCTGCGTATTTACGCCACTCATAACCCCGATTCGGTCTTGAACTTACTCAAAAGTCACGGGTTAACCCAGAGCCATATCAAAAGCTTGATTACAAATCGTCCGTCCTTACTTTTGGTTGATCCGGATAAAACCTTGAAGCCCAATTTGGAGTTGTTTAGGACTCTGGGGTTTTCAACCACCAGTCTCGCCAAATTGCTGAACATGCAACCTAAAGTTCTTGAGGTTGATGCTCCCGCAGTTGTTGACTTTTTTAGAGCCAGTAATTTTGCAGAAAAACAGATAGCGACTTTAACTATCAAGCGTCCTGCTTTGTATTTATTTAATGCGCAGAAGAAATTTAAGCCGAAGATAGAGTGTTTCGAGTCTTTGGGATTTTCAGCAACTGAAATCTCAAAAATTTTATCCACAGAGCCTGCTATTCTAGAGAGAAGCCTAGAAAACCAAATCAAACCTTCCATCTCCATACTTAGGGATATTCTTGGCAATGACAAGGACATTGTAGAAGTAATTAAGAAAAACTACAGGATACTTGAAATCAATTTGGACGAGGTGTTGGTGCCCAACATATCATTGTTGGTTAGCCATGGTGTACCCAAAGAATTATGTTTAAAAATTTTCTTGATTGAACCAAAGTCTTTGCTTGTAAGGGGTCCTCGTTTTGGTGAAATTGTAAATGAAGTAATCAATTTGCATTTTGATCCGAATAACCTGCTATTTGTTTTAGCTGTTCGATCCATGGCAATTATGAGTAAAACACTTTGGGAGAAGAAGTTGGAAGCTTTTGGAAGTTTTGGTTTATCTAGGGATGAAATTTATTCTGCATTTAAGTTGCAACCTATGTGTATGATTTGTTCAGAGAAGAAAATAAGAAAATCCATGAATTTCTTTGTGAATAAATTGAGTATAACTCCCTTAACAATTGCCAAGAATCCAAATCTTCTATTGTTAAGCTTGGAGAAGAGGATTATACCAAGGTGTTCAGTGCTGCAAATTTTGATGTCAAAGAACTTAATTAAGGAAAATATTAGCATCATCTATATCTTCAGAATGGCAGAGCTAAAGTTTGTGGAGAAGATTGTGACTAAGTATCAGGATCTGGTTCCTAACATTGTTGACGCACACCAAGGCAAGATAGAATTCACAGGATTTCTCACTGATCCGAAAGTATAAGATCTATGACACATCATGTGATTGGGATGCATAAAGTTGCTTTGAGTTTGGAAAGAGTTTGTCTTGATGGAAACAGGCCATTGAACAGGTCTATTTTTATTTTATACTTCTATCATTATTCATTGACCATAACATGAAAATGGTTTTTCAAGGAATATAAAGCAGAATTGTGTATGTTCATGATGAACATAGATCATCAGCTTCTTGACAATTTGCTGGTACACTACTATTGGCAGCTTGGCAATTTGTAAGGAAGCAATTTTGCTATCAAAGGAACCAGCTTGAGGTCTGAGATCGTTTTAGGAATCAAAAGTCCTATGGCCCTTATTATGTGTTATTGGTGGCGTCAAGGAAGTTCAGGTGTGTTATATAGGGTTTAATTGCATACATTTTCCTTTTGAGTAATAGCTCACTTTTATCTTAATTAAAAGGAAGTCCAAGATATTTGTGAAATGTTTTTATTATGCAACACTGATTAGTCTTTAGTGCAGTGCAATGGAACAATGCATTTATACACTTCAGGACTAATCCTAAATTGTCTCTTTTCGGCTTGTACATCTATTTAGTAATCCCTAGTGTTTAATCTCATCATGCACTTGAAAGGGGCTGGTTGTCTTTGGTAATGATGACCTCTGACTTGATTATAGAAATGAGACAGATTGCAATATCATCATTCTTTCTCATAAAATAACAAATTGACGAGTGAATTGTTATGTTTTATCGTGAGGCTTAGATTCAGATGTGTTGTATTGGCCTTGCCTGAATCAGTTTTCACTGCAATTTTCTAGTTCAAATACTGGAACTTCCACATCGTGTTCATATCTGTCTATTTTAGTCTGTGTCACCAGCTTTTGTTGTTTACAAGTGTTTCGTCCAAAGAGTACCTTATGTGATCAAATCCTTCTAACCTTTTCTATCTAATGTATACTTTGAAACACTTCATGTTGCAACCAGTATTTTCTTTTTTGATGTTGAATTTTGTAATGCACATCGGGGTTTCTATTACCACATCATCATCATCTTCTCTCTTTCTCTCTCTTTCTCTTCCTTTTCTTTTCATCTTGCTTGCATAGAACACGTGTTCTCTCGTGCCTATCATCACATGCTGAAGTTAGTTATTCAAGTTTTAGTTAGTACACTTATAACCTAATATTTTCATATTTTCACATTGTCTTTTCAAATGTAAGTTGGTTTTACAAATCCATATTTTTGTGTTTAGAATTATTCTAAATGACGGATTTCATTTTGAATGAACTTTGTACAGAGATGAATTTAAGATGCTTGAAACATATTTTCTGCCTGTTTTTCTATTTCTCCAAATGTAAGTGAATTGACTTTGTGAAGTGCTTTAAAATTATTAAATTTAGTTCAAATATCAAAACTTCCTTGCAAAAGAATTCTTTGTTCAGTTCGATTACAAAAATAAATTTTCGTTGTTCACCATAACTGAGTACCTTGCAATTAGATAATGAAAATCTTCTAAACTACCAGAAGTCAGTGCAAAAAATGTGATTCACTAAAAGTGGTCTCTATAATATCAGCACGAATTTTATTGTTTTTAAGATTTTTGCTCAATTGATGTTCCCTGTAAAAAATTCTTGTGAGCTGGTTCTGGAACCTTTATTACAAGAATATACATATTATGGGAAGCTGCAACCTTTGTTGGAAAGTCAATACAAATTGGATTCTTATTGCCTGTGAAGGGGTTTTTTTTTTGTTTTTTTGTTTTACCCCCCGAAGGAAAGAACTGATCATGATAATGTACTAGTATAAATAGATTCCACAGTTGGCTTCAGTTTTTAACTAATTATCTCTTTACATGCGTATAAAGTTTTTTATATAATCCTTCGTAATTGTAGGTTTAGTACTTCTGTACTAGTTTTTTTAGGGGTGAGAGTGAGTAAGGCTACCAGATAAGACATCCCGGTTGTCAGGAAACTCGCTGGTATGTCATGACTGTTTTGATCATAAGGCTACCAAATAGGGATGCTGTCAGGCCCAAATTTGGCCCGAAGCTTGATTCAAAGGCACATGAAGTTAAAATTCAGTTTAAAATAAAGGTGGAGTTAAGGAGCAAAGCTTGAATGAACTCAAATTCAAACTTGAAGAAGCTCAGAGTTGGACAAAATCAAATTTGGTGAGTTTGATAATATTTATGTTTTAAATTATTGTACATATTAAATAACATTCCTTGCATGCTTTTATCTAAATTTTATAATGTTTTTAATGAAAACGTGTTCATATGTTATTGAAGTGTTATTCGGAGCGAAGCATAGCTCGAGTTAAGTAGTGGGCATCTAGAAAAAAAATAATTATACTATGTATTCTATTGCTAAATTCACAATGAAGCATTTGACTTTTGGGTCAGGTGGTATTTTTTTACTTTTACAAAAATAAAAAAAAAGTTAAAAGTGGTACTTTTTTTTTTATTTAAATTTTATCTTTACAAAAAAAGTTTAAATTTTATCTGTTAAAAAATAAATATATATTAACGTTATATTAAGAAGAGAACATAGATGGTAAAATTAGGAAACTATAAGTTTTGTCTCGTTAGTCTTAAATTTATATTAGTGATTTAGTATTAAACTAAATAATTAATAGTAATTTTAGCTCGGCAATAGTATTCTGCCAATGATAAGAAGTCTGTCTTTTGGGCAGATCTTTCATGAAATCTGCACCATGCTTTTTTCATCGTTGCAAATTTCTTGTTGATGGGGCGGCCATTATTTGAAATCATTGTGAAAACCCTTGTATATATATATGTGTGTGTATATACATACTTATGTTTTTAAATTTAATATCTAATATTTTATTTTTATATTAAAAAATGGCGGTGATTTTCCTTTTGTAAAACTGACTGGCATGATGAGGAGGGACATGATATCTCAACCACATGAATTGTTTTGACAAAGAAATGGCATGATGCCAAAAGCTGAATTCATGGATGATGGATGGCATCTCTGGGTTTTTGTTTTCTTCTTTTTAATAATTTCCAATATATATATATATATATATATATATATACATATATTCACATATACTCATATATATATGTATATGTATTCACGAAAAACATAATTAGAGGGTGACTAAATTGAAAAGTGTTAAGACGCGTGACCTAAATGCAAAAATCATCATATGGTTCACTTTAGTATGATTTGAAAGTGTCATCATTATTTTGTATGTCTATTTAACCATTAAGTTAGGTCTTTCTTAAATTAAATTTTATTAAAAATAAGTAGTTAATAAAATTTTGATCATAAAATAAATAGTTATTTTTATAACGTTCCAAAAGAGTGATAAAGACATAAATTGAATGTGGAAGCAAAATAATAAAATTAAAATTAAAATTTCTTACATAATAATTTAGAATACACAATAGGGTTACGAGAATGATATTTCTAAAAGAACAAACGAAAAATTAAGAAATAAAAAATTAAATATCTTAGGACGACCTTCACTAACTTTTAAAGAGAGTCCGGGTGGTGAACTATTCACAACTCCATTATTGAAATAATTAATTAAAGGGTGAGTTACACTATCCTAATAAAAATATTACACTACTTACTGATATAGAAATGAAGGTAAAAATCATAAAAAAAAAACTAATGGAGTTCTTAAATTAACTGAATTCATTTATCATAAATAAAATTATTTATTGCATACTTACCGTAGTAAGATTTTCAAAACTGACCTATAGAGACAATAACACAAACAACATCATAATCTCATATTTAATTAGGTAGAACAACTTTTCCTTTTTTATTTGCTTATTAGTATCTCTGGAGTTCCATAGGGATGTCCCACCACGCGTGAACCCATAACAAAACTTATAAACTAACCGGTCGTCTCCATATCTAGTCCGGTATAAGCGTCAAAAATATCATCCCTCAATACCCTGTTCGGTATGAGGGTGAATCAAGCCGTTCCTATACCCCGTCCGGTATGAGCACCAAAAATACCATTCTTCGACACCCCGTCTGGTATTGGGTAACGTTCACGGTACGGTTCTCTATGTACCCGGTTCGTCCACAATCTCCAAGTATATCTAGTAAGACAACTGTTTTATTAATTCATTTAATCAAGTAATTTTTCGTTATATTTAATTTTTAGTTTCACAATTTAACTGTAAATCACGCCAAACAAGCAATAAATGCATTAAGAAAACACAATTGAATCATCTTACCAATTCTAGTATATTATCATGCATTTAAAATTGTAAAATCAAACAATAAGTTAAAATATGACAAACAGTAATAAATAACTAGTTTCGACTCCGTTAGTAACATGTGATTAATTATCGAAGTTTTCTAAATTATGCAAAATACCGTATTATTTATAATTAGACTTTAATTCCATAACAAGGAATAAAGTGAGAAATTCTTACTCGAATCAGTGTTTGAAACACCGAACTTTCAGCTGCGCCTAGTGGCGGTCCCTGAGTTTTCTGAATTTTTCTTCAGAGGTAAAAACAGGTTTCATGTACCTAAAAATACATTAAAAAATAAAAAATTGGTGTTAAAAATCTTTTACAACTAATTTTAGAATTCTGGCATGGCAGCATCGCTGTGCTCCGGCGACGGCACCGCCGCCTGTGGCGGTGGTTTACCTTGGACTGGTTATTTTCGGCTAGTTTTGACCGATTTTGACCGATTTTATATCTATCATTGCGAGAAAACACGTTAAGGGGTCTCAGTTGGCCTAAAAAAATCGAAAAACAAAAACTTATTTGCAGCTGAATTTTTCGGTGTGGCGGCTCTGCCTGCTCACCCTCGCGGCTGGGCCTTTTTCTTCTGTCAACCTGTAGAAAACAGAATAGTGAACACAATGGTAGAAAAATCGCACGAAAGGGGAAACAGGAAGGGGCTTATCCGAGGCGATTTTTTATTTTTTCCGTGGTGGTACCGCCGGACTTTACTCGCGATTTTCGGCTCATTCACTGCTCTTTTTGTTCCGATTTGGCCATGGGAGTGTTCAACGTCAAATTCTAAGCGAATAAGAGAATTTTTACTTTTTTTTAAGGTTGGAAGTAGCTCCGGCACGGTGGCAGGCGGCGGTCAGCTCTTTTCTCCGGTGACTGGTTTTTCTTCTCCGGCGGGAGGCTGGCGGCTAGAGTTTGGGTTTGGTATAAAGTGAGATATTTATACATGTCTTTCTTAAATCTGGATCGTTCATCACGTTTGATCACGATCGTCTGATCGCGTTTAAAGAGAAAATGAATATGGACCGTTCATTTAGATTTGATCTTGACTTTACAATCGTGTTTAAAGAGAAAGTAAATTTGAATTGTTCATCGCGTTTAATCGCAATCGTTCGATCGTGCCTGCGGAGGGAACGGATCCGGACTGTCTATGCGCGCGGGAACACATCCATATCGTCCGATCGCGGGCACGCAGATTGCCAGCGTGGCCTCCTACGTGACACCGAGTCAGCGTTCTATCCACGCAACGCGCTCTAATTCGTTGGAGTTGCTGACTAGGCGGTCTTAAGTGACATATTTTTTTAAATTATGTTTTGATCCTCAGTTTCTAATTTTTCTTTCAAAAATACATCTCGAACCCAAATTTTCAACCATTTTTCTAAAATTATTTTCAATTTCATCATCCACTTATTTTTTTCATAATTTTATATTAAATAAAATTTATAAATTTAAAAATTATATATCTATTTTAATTTCAAAATTAATCCCGAGCCAAATTTCGGACCCGTGTATTACAATTCTCCCCTATTAAAATAAATTTGGTCGCTCAAATTTGTCTCTCTCTCACTCAATCACACAGTTGAGGATAATAAGCTCTGAAGTTTGATTCTAGCTCCCATGTGGTCTCTCTCTGTATGTGATTCTGCCATAAGATCTTAACAAAGAGAATTTTTTAGTTGCGGAGTACTCTGCTTTTTCGGTCTACAATATTCACCGGTACCTACTCGTAAGACAGATACTTTTGGAGTGAAAGGAGTTCCTGGCCTAAAACGTGAGAGGGGTACGGGTTGTACTTACGTAGCATGGACACATGAAACACATTATGGACCCTGGATAGTTCTGGAGGTAGTGCTAGCCTGTAGGCGGCGATGCCAATTGTATATAAGATTTCAAATGGTCCAATAAATCGAAGATTTAGTTTTCCTATTTTGCCAAACCTACTGATTCTCTTGAAAGGAGTGGCCTTAAGGAACACCCAATCACCTTTCTCAAATTCCAAATCCAACAGCCAGATATCCGCATAACTCTTTTGTCTGCTCTGAGCCGTCTGAATTTTCTTAATGATCTTAACTATTTTGGCTGTAGTCTCATCCATAAGATTGGACCGACCAATTTTCTATCACCCACCTCTTCCTAATAAATTGACGATTTGTATGGGCGCCATATAATGCCTCGTACGGAGGTATGTCAATACTTGTTTGGTAGCTGTTATTGTAAGCGAACTCTATTAAGGGTAAATGATAATCTCAATGACCTCCAAAGTCAAGAACACAAGTTCGGAGCATATCCTCAAGTGTGTGGATTGTCTTTTCTGATTGTCCATCGGTATAAGGGTAGAATGCGGTACTAAGGGATAGTTTTGTTCCCATGTCTTGCTGAAAACTAGACCAGAACCCAGAAGTGAACCTGGGGCCCCTGTCGGATACTACTATCACTGAGACTCCATGTAACCTGACTATGTCTCGGATATACATTCTTGCTATCTTGTCTAAGGGGTCGATCATCTTGATGACCAGAAGTGAGAAGACTTGGTGAACCGGTCAACAATTACCCAAATGACATCATATCCCGAGCGTGCCCTAGGTAATCATGTCACGAAATTTATTGTGATGTGTTTCTACTTCTATTACGGAATTGGTAATGACTGAAGTAGCTCACATGTGCGTTGATGCTCTGCCTTAACTTGCTGATATACCAAATATTTGAAAACAAAGTAGGTCACCTCTCTTTTCATCCCGTTCCACCAAAATCGGGATCGCATATTTTGATACATTTTTGTGCTTCCGGGATGCATGACAAACTTTGAGTTATGAACCTCTGTCATGATGTCCCTTTTCAGCTCACTATCCAATGGAACACATACTATGTCTTGAAATCTAAGCAACCGATCGTCAGAGACTCTAAATTCTTGATTTACTCCCTATTCTGCATCTTTCTTGAGGGCGGCTAGGGTGGAATCGACAGATTGAGCTTCCTTTATTCTCTGGATCAATTCAAGTTGAACAGTTAAGTGAGCCAAACATGTAACTCTCTTCAGGTCCTGAAGTCGTACATGTTGTGCGACCCTTA